TATAGACGTCGAATGATATTTTAAATTTAAAGTCATAGTCAGCATCTTACTCTATAAGTATCAAAAAGGTAAATAAAAAATGAAATGGCAAAATCTTTTAATTTATTTTTAACATTTTTTAGTGTTAGAACAAAAATATACTAATAATATTATTATTTTGCGCATGAACACGTCAAACAGGTAAGGCATCTGTGACGTTTGAGTTTACACTCGTAGCGTTAAAGCTTTATTGTTGTATGTATTTATAATACTAATATTTACACATCGTGGAAAAATCTTATTTTTCCATTTAAATATTCTATATAGAATCTTGATAGTTATCTTAAACTTGCGTCTTTATATCTAATTAATATGTAACTGCTACTGTAAAGCCCAACTATGGTCAATCTTAAAACTTGCCTGTATATGTTGATTGGGGCGAGAATTTTCATAGCGCAATGCAGGATAATAAGTTACTTCGTAGTTGGTTGTGTCCTTATTGGTTCGAAGTGGCCACTCCGCCAGCCAACTTGATAGTGGTTTTAAGTATATTTATTTGTCAACAATTATAATTGACGATCGGATGGCGTGGTGGTTTGTGTAACGGACTGCTATTCCAAAGGTCGCGCAAGTCAAACGTTTTGTGCATGAACATTTAATGTTTGATTTGGTCTGGGTGTTTCTATGTATAATATGTATGTATTTACAAAAAAAAAGTATATATGTATTAATATCAGTTGTCTAGTACCCATAGTACAAGCTCTGCTTAGTTTGGGACTAGATGGAGTTGTGTGAATGTGGTAGTTTAATAAAAAAATGAAAAAAAAAATATAACTAAAGATTTAGGTTTTTTTTTGTTCTCAACATTTATAGGACAGTCTTCTTTTGGAAACAGAACAAGTATCGTTAATTATATTTTGTTTATTTACAATTTCATGATGATCAACTCAATTAAAAAATTCGAAATTATTTTATTTTATTATAAACCTACAATAAAATCTTAAGGAGTTTGCATACGGTACATTTTATGTTAATAAATTAATTAATACATAAAAGTGTAATAAACAGAGAAACTCGTATTTGCATTTAATCTATACAATTAAATAAAATTGAAGTGTCTGTTTTTAATATTAAAATAACCGCTTTTTACTAAATACATATGTATGTTTATACGGTACATATGCCAAAATAACATTTTTTACAATTTTTGTATGTCTGTCTGTCTGTCTGTTTGTTCCGGGTAATCTCTGGAACGGCTGGACCGATTTCGACGGGACTTTCACTGGCAGATAGCTGATGACATAAGGAGTAACTTAGGCTACTTTTTTAGACTAGCTTCGCCCCGTGGCGTTGCCCGCGGTTATAACAACAAACGCGGGTAACACCGCGGGTCTCAGCTAGTTTAAAATAATAACAGCCAAGACCTAGGAGATTATTGTCTCCTTTTCGTGTTAAATCCTTTTTTAATTCGATATCATTGTGACATAAGGATTCGATAGGTTTTACTGGTTAATTTTAAGATTGACCGTAGTACGAGCTTTTGTATAGGGAGATATAATAATGTATTATATTTACTTTCGTAAATTTAACTTTATGTGTTTATGTCCCGTTTTCCTCATGGACCAACTATGTACGCACAACTAGTTGTGCCATCCCAGAATATGTTCTTAATGACACAACTATGCACAACTAAGCACAACTGATTTACTATAACCACTCCTTTTAGCACAACTACAGGAGGAAATAAATAAGATGATTACTAACCTCTTCAGAAATTGATGTTTATGTTGGCCACTTCTGTCATATCTTTGTATATTAACAAATAGAAAATTATAAATTAATTTAAGTAATTATTTAAAAAAAATTGCTATTATTTTTGTGCATACGCGGGCGTATATCCTGACTATAAGCATGTCTATGTCTACGCCAGAACACGAAGAACTTATAACCATAACGATGAACCTTTGTACACCGATTAGTTGTGTATCTACGAACAAATATTAATTGAAAATTATTGTGCCAATAGGAATGAATTAAAAAATATATTCCTCATGACACAACTAGTTGTGCATACATAGTTGGTCCATGAGGAAACAACGGTTCATGTTTAAATATGAATAAACTATTTATAAAGTACTTAGTATACTAATTTATTTGTCAATTTATTTCTTCCGCTTTATACAAGAAAAAGCAAAACTCGAATCTATACAAATAAATAAAATTAAAGTATCCGACGGATTAAGAATAATGTGTCACCACCCCTATTCATCCCGTGGGTGTCGTAAGAACCGACTAAGGGAGAAAACTACGCAGAACAACAGCACTGCAGAGAGAAGGAAAACTTGACATAAACCCTATACCAACCCGTCTGGCCAGCGTGGTATAGTAGGCTAAAACTTCCACTGTAATGAGAGACCTATGTCCAGCAGTGGACTAATAAAGGCTGTTGATGATGATGATGATAATTGATGATTTTCTATGAGGCGTTCATTTATCTCCAAGCATCTCTCTTATTACTACTTCTTATTATACTTTCATTTCAAATCATAACAACACTTTATACACAAAACAATAACTACTTTTTAATAAATTTAATAGTATTTCTAGTATATGTATCTACAATGCATATTAGAATAATTTTTTTTTTCTAACCCTTACCGTACAAATTAAATAAATAAAAATTACAATTCTTAAGCTATCACAATGGTTTAAAGCTCACGATGTCTTTGACAATATACATGACTCTGATTATGATAAGCACCTTAGATGATATAATTACATTATTGTGGTGATAATGATTTCATATAACACCATGAATATTCATAACTAGCTGACCCGCGCAACTTCGTCTGCGTCTCTCAATAGTAATAAATTTTCTCCGTTTTGAAACATTCTTCATTGGTGCTCCGCTCCTATTGGTCTTAGCGTGATGATATATAGCCTATAGCCTTCCTCGATAAATGAGCTATCTAACACTGAAAGAATTTTTCAAATCGGACCAGTAGTTCCTGAGATTAGCGCGTTCAAACAAACAAACAAACAAACTCTTCAGCTTTATAATATTAGTATAGATTTTAAAATGTATGTTTTAACCCTCAATTTGGCATTGTGTATGTCTAGGTCATCGACAAGTCAAGTAAATGCCAAGTCCGTCAGTGTTTCGTTACTAAATATAAAAAATACTAAATTACTAAACAAATTATCACGTAGGTAAGAGGGTAATGCTCTAATATTGATTTTCTACACGTTTTCAATATTGTTGTCTTATTGTTTTTATATTTATGTTATTTTTTTGTTATTATGCTGTACTTAATAGCATCTGCCTCGGCATACAAAACATTAGTGCCTTATTTATCTGTGCAAACTACAGTGTGTGCTGTGGCATAAATGCTTTTTCGGGCAAACTGTAAGTTTAATATTTTTTTAAATACCTTTTGTATGCCTAATTTAGCCTAAAACGTAATATTATTAAATACATATTTTACATTGTTACAGTTTTTTTCTGCCAAATTAAGGGTTTAATATGATTGTAGAGCAATGGCATTATGTCTCTCCAGTTCAAAGAGAGAATCCTACTACCAGGCAAGGTGACCATGCCTCTCGGACCGCTGCCCGCTAAAGTTATATATGTATATACGAATCCGAATGAGAGTTTTAATTGTGCGATGCAGGATTACTAGCAACTCTGTAGTTCGGATTGCATTGAAGTATGTTTTTTTTTACCTATATGTGGAAGTCGTATGTCCTTGCCTATATGTTGATGTCGTTGTATGCAGAAGTTGTGACGAGGCCTTAGTATATATATATATATAACAAAAAAATATATAAATTACTATTTAAATTATTAACCTTATTATACCTTCTATATTACAAACTAAAACAATTTGTTTAACTAAAAAAAAATGCTTTTCAAATGTTTTTGATTCTGAGAATTTTAAATGAAGTACTACATATTTGGTTTTACGGATAATAATAACTAATAATTTCCCATGAATGATTTTATTTGCTTGTAATATTATTATGAGAGTGGCAAGAAGCCATTACCCACTTGACACTTCAACACGCTTCAGAAAGAACAGTCCACGATATCTGAAAGAGCGTGGGATTGGCCACACAACTGGCATGTATCATTACCATGTATAACACCATATTCTGCTTCTAGAAACCTGTGAATGCTTCGAAGGGATGCCGTGATTCTGGAAAAAGCTAGGATAGCATTTAACCTGTTACATCTGAGGGCATTATGAGCCAAGTTTAAAGTCCGAAAAGAACCCTATCAATAAATTAATCTTCGAAACTTTTAATGTTACTTAGACGTATTACATACATATTGTACGCCTTATACATTTCATTGAAGTACTTACATTTTTAGATATGTAAATTATAATTAAAACTATTTAGGTAAGTCTCTACGTATCGTAAATATGTCACAATCAATGATCTTAATATAGTATAAATCTTAACACAGTAATGTAAATTTTTGTGAACAAAACATTAACATAAATAAGCTTTATCTTTAACAATATACATATAATAGTTATTTTATCATACATAAACAAATATCACTAGTATTTTATGGCAATTCAAAACAGCGTTGTACTAAAATATTTATACCCACTATAATGTAAGAATTTACTTTGTGCATTTTGTACACTGTTTTGCAAATATTTTGTCGAGCAATCAAAACGTCTTACAACTTTATTATGAAATAGTTCTTCCCTCGGATTTGTAACGTTGAAGAATAATCAAGCTATAAACTAGTTGCTCTTTGTGATTAATTACTTTGTTGTTATGGCGTAAAATTTTACGGTCTTGAGTTAAATTTTAGACTTAAAAAAACACAGACAAATCTTCATATTTATCTTAAGCTAAAAAGCTAAAACGAACAAATTTATTGAGTCTAACCCCATTGCTTAAACGTTTCCATCATTTAAATAAATGTCCAATAAACATTCTTGGATATTGTTATTTGAACTCAATCTCTTTTAGGCGGCGACTGAAGAACTTAATTTGTCTAATTGTTATGAAGAAGTCTTAGTCTTCAATAGAAGGACGGGCCAGTACATTGTAACAAAGAGTAGAAATAACGCAGGGAATACAACTCTTGACAATTTGTCGATTTCTCTCCAAAGGATTCGTTCTTGACCTGTGTCAGCGTCTAACCAAGCTACCTGAAAACACAAAAGAAATGTAACTTTTGGCTCATCAAACACAATATAAATATTATTAACATTCACTTTATTACATCTGCCAATCCCATATTTTATAATGAGTGTTTAACTTTTCTGTACATATATAGTAAACAGTCATTTAATCATCTGAGATCGTAGTTACACAAGTAAATTCAAACTATTCCAAAAACTCTTAATTCAAAGATTGATATTTATTTCTATGAATCAAAAATTTTGGACACACATGTTATATTAAATTGAAATAACATGGCTGATATAAGTTTTCTGAACGTTTGGAACCTGCAACTTTTGTAATGAGCTACCGAATATAACTACCTAAATGAAGAACAAACTCTCCAATTTTTATTAATAAGTAATTTCGGAACACAAGTGGTGCATTTAAAGTGTAATAACATTTGAAAATTTTAGATTATATGCAGTAATTGTGAAATTTACTAAAAAGTTGTTCAAATTAAATTGACACTCATAGAAATGTATTTTATACTACTAATCCTAAAAGGTAGGTAAAAATCCTTGAAATTACATGGTCTGGGTCGTCCTCAGAGTAGGGTGCTTAAGGCTGGCTTTTGGGGTGGTTTCTAGTGGAAGCACCACATACTTTCGGCTTCTGCATTTTCACGAAAGCATCCGAAAGGAATTTTCCACCCCGTCAATTAAAACGGTGTATGGTTGATAGTGAGTATGGTTGATAGCAGTGCTACTAAGAATTACCAAAACTGTATATCGTATACTGCATCAAAACTGTACCAAAACTGTGTACTGTGTATTAATTTACCATCTATTAATCTAATACGATTATAAAAACACCTTTTACCACAATAATGGAGAACTCATTTTTCAAAATCAATCTCAAAAACACTTGAAAACTAAATAGTTTGAAGTAAAATTGTTAATTAGATTTTAACCTGTAGTATACTTTGCCGTCTTTCAACTCCAACTAAATGCGCAGTTGTATGAGTTGCAGCCGGTGCAGGGTGTACTGCCGGAGTAGCTGCTGGCGGTGACGTAGGCGATGTCAAGTCTACCTTACGACACCTAACCCCACTACCTTCCCAAGCAGCTAATGTCCCGCAGGATCCCTTTTCCCCATTCAGCCTCTGCCGAAGATAACGAAATATCTTTGTCTCAATAATCTTGGTGCGAATTCGAGCTGGTTGTTGCGGTGGAGCTATAACTAATAAATCTAAATCATGATTTATGATGTCAAACACAAGTAGTATTAATCCAAAATGAAGTCTTAGGAGATTTTTTGCTCCTAAATAATGCAACAAATTATTTAATCATTGCAATTTTGACAGTTTAAATAATTCAAGAATTTGAATTTTGAAGATTGAAATAAATTTTAAAATGAAAATGAAAATTTCTTCAATAAATAACAAATGTACAGCAGCTTATTAATTTTTTATATTTTTTTCAAAATTTGCTAAGTTTACTCACAAGTTTTATAAATTGAAAGTTAATTATTAATATATTATACTCTTTCAATATAAGAAAAGCTCTTAAAGGTAAATCAAAAAGAAAATATTTACCACCGGAATGATTCGGGGCATGGACTCTTGTGCCTTGGTTTTGTTCATTTGGTACTGTTTATCCAAAACCTTTACAACTACAAATTCTGCGAGGGCAGCAAAGACGAACATCATACATCCTGCCATCCAGAGGTCAAGGGCCTGAAAATTAACTACAATATTAATATTTATAGAATAACAATGTAATATATCGAATACATTTGGAGTACAGACAATACATTCAGACACATATTCTTCATATATACCTTAACATATGCCACCGGTGGAATATCAGCTCTCAGTCCAGTAAACATGGTGACTAACGTCAACATGCAAGTCACCAATAACGTCACTCTGCCAGGAATTGCGTCAAGGTCCAACCAGAAGCTGAACCAAGAAAGCATTACCACTAGAGAGGATGGCGCAAAGGTTTGAATCAAGTGGTGACCGATTTGACGCTCAAATCTGAAGTAGACCACAAGTCTTGAGTAGTTTCCTGAAAAATTACGAGACTTTTCAACTTTTGAGGTAGATATGAGGTGAATAATAAAGGATAATCAAAATAAAATTGGTTTCTTTATAAATTTCAAATTGTTGTACTGTGAAGGCTAGGCAAAACAACCATCTCGATACTAAGAAGACATTAACGATTTATAATAATAGAACCATTGTGAAAGCATTATTGAAATCTACTAGAAATACTTCAATATAGTTTATTGCAACACTATCATATGTGACCAACTCACCATCTTTGTCAATCATGTAACCATTAGTTTCTTCAAGACGGAGGGGTTCCCCAATGTGGTATTGTAATAACTTTAATTCTGGATTGATTGTGACTCCAGCCTCGCTCCAACGGAATCGTACTTTTTGGTTGCTGTATGAAACTGGCGAAAAAGATTATTGACTCAGTATTAAAACATCAGCATCATATTTCTACATCACCCAAAGGTCGACTGGAAGAGAATGCCCTGGGCATTAAGTGCGCCTGTGTACAACGTGTTCATTAAAATATTAAAAATAAAAGGATTTTTTTATTTTTTATAATTCTATTAACTGCCATGCCATGCATTGAAACATCTATTGCCATCGGGCAATAGCAGCATTAACTTCTACATTAAACATATTTTAAAAAATAAGTCTATTTTTAAATAGGCTAGTGTATTTAAGTATCTGATAGCTTAGGCACTTTTGAAATATGGTCCTTAGTTCTTTCAGGTATCTTAAATCATCATCAACATCAACAGCCTATAACAGTCCCCTGCTGGACATAGGCCTCTCCTTAGAAAGGAGGTTTTGACCTACTATTACACGCTGGCTAGACGGGTTGGTATATGGTTTGTTTCAAGTTTTCCTTCTCTATGCAGTGCTGTTGTTCTGCGTAGTTTGCTCCCTCAGTCGGCTCTTACGACACCTACATTCTGTAACATTCCGTATTCTTAATCCGTCACCACACGGACACACTAATCTTAAATAAGATTCTCAAAAACATTCTGGATTTAATGAAATATTTTCTAGTCCACCAACATATACCACTAATGAAACAAGTTTAAAACGACAAATAGTCAAACTCATATCATATGATTAAAAAGACTAAGAAGAAAACAAAATACTAACAACTTTCAATATAAATAGGACACGACTGAATGTCCATTGGATAGAGCTGAAACTCCATCTGGCAGGCAATAATCGCATGCATTCTGGCCGAATACCTCACTGTTTGATTTCTGTACAGTGTTACTGATGAAAACTTGTGAGTAAGTTCAGCAATTTCTGAAAACAATATAAATGTTTCATTGTTAGCTAGGTATTAATTTTTTGGTATTATTTTAGTTAGGAGCTTGATTATAATTACAAAAAAAGTGTTTTGTTTTGCGTTATTAATCAATTCCATTAAAAAAATCTTAAAAAAGGGTTCTCAATTCACTCAAATCAATAACTAAAGGGTTGTATAGTATACAATTTTAGGCAAATACAAAAAAAAAAACTTTTTAAACTGTAGAAAAAAATGGCTGAAAAAGATGACATTTGTTAGGAGAGAGATGAGACATTAATAAAGCCATCGGTTCTACACTTTAAAGTTGTTAATTCAACGTCGCTGTTTTCTGAAAACCTTTATTTAAAGAAATAATTAAATGAATGAAGTTACAATTTATTTGTAGACAAATCATTAGGTTCTAAAAAGTGCCATTCAGTGCCCAACCAAGTGTTCACCAAAGCCATTCCGTTGGTGTAGTATATGGTGACAAAATATTTCATATTACATAGTACTTCATAGATAAATTTGAATTAGTGATAAATAAATTGAATGGATGTAAAAGTGCACACAACTCTGTTTTTTTTAAAAGCCCTTTTTTCTTTACCAAATTCACACAACGCCATCTAGTCCCAAACTAAGCAGAGCTTGTACTATGGGTACTAAACAACTCATATAAATACATATATCCTCTTTTTGTAAATAGATACATATTATACATAGAAACACCCAGACCAAATCAGACATTAAAAGTTCATGCACACAAATGTTTGACTTGAGCGGGAATCGAAACCGCGACCTTTAGAATAGCAGTCCGTTACACAAACCACTACGCCATCCGGTCGTCTTATATCAGTCTTAAGTAAAATTACACTAAATTTGTAAAATATATGTGTATATTATGTGTTGGATATATTTTCGCAAATGCAATATAACTTTGCGCCAAAATTCACTAATTACAAATTATTTTTTATGGTGATTGACTTCGAAAAATATAAACTCCAAAAAGATTTTTGTATGTGCAAGGCATGCAAAATTTATTATGTACAAAATAATATATAATTTATAATTATAATTAAGATTATGGTAAGTCGACTCAGATCAATAAAACTGTTACCAACCTTATCTGTATTATTTCTATTAGAAAATAAAATGATATTTGGTGCGGTTGTAGTTTTGTGGGTTATTGTTTATTTTTAGTAAAAAAATTGCATTAAGTAAAAAAAAGTAAAAACCAAAGAAGGAAAAAAATGTATATCAGAAATAATTTTAGAAATTCCGACCAAGGACACATTTGCAGAGGTAAGCGTAAAAAATCCAAAATTCTAGATATTTAGTTCACACTTTAATTATGGTGACAATTTACTCCAAACACAATGCCTAATTTGGAAAACCAAAATCAATAGAATTTGATAGTTTTAGGGTAGAAATACGAAACAAAACAGAAGAACCAGTATCGTTAATTTTCTAGTAGACTTTTGTCTATTACTGTGATTTTCAAGAATGCGTAATAAGTGATACACTCGGCCACCACTTGTACTCACGATTTCAAGATAAAAACGTGCTGGTAAAAGAATGAAGGTCCATAGAATACGCATCGGCCTAAAGTCCATTGACCATTGTTTTCACTCATAATATCATCCATCCACAGCCATTTACTAGTCCACTGCTGCCTACTATCTACGGTGGCCAGACGGGTTGGTATAGGGTTAGTTTCAAGTTTTCCTTCTCTTTGCAGTGGTGTTGTCCTGCGTAGTTTGCTCCCTTAGTCGGTTTTTACGACACCCACGGGATGAATAGGGGTGGTGACACTCTGTATTCTTAATCCGTCACCACACTCATAATATAATAACATATAAATACGTGCTTCACTTAGCAAAGGTGATGGTGTGTTTAATATTAATAAAATAAATTGTACTATAAGTGCGAAATGCTTTTGTGAAACATTAAAGGAGCTTTGTATGTTACCAGGCGATCTTGGACGGTAATGCAATGCTCCTCCTAAAATTCAAAATTTTGTTACACTTCATCTTTTACAGTCCACTGCTGGACATAAGCCTCTCTTTAGAAAGGAGGTTCGGGCCTACTACATTACTAAACTTATTGCACCTGTAACTATTTACATATTTTTGAATATTTTTACAGCGGAGGTGAACACATGGATGGTATTAGCTAAACTATAAAGTACGCCAAGAGGGCATTTTACATTAAAAAAAAACATTTTAATACACACAAAAGCATCTTAGATATAACATCAATATCACATCAAATTGCAAATATATCGAGTGTTTAGAAAAATTACGTAGGTATAAAAAGAATTTTTAAATAAATTAAAAATACATTTTTAATTTTGTTATCAAACTCTTTCTTGTAGGTAATCAAACAAACATTTCTTTTTCAAATTTCAGTAAAATTAACAGTCACAAAAAAATTGGTTGCCTGTAAAGTCGGTATACGGGCGAAAGTTTTACGTGACAACGACTTTGAGTGGTAAAATAATTTTAATGTGAATATTCATTCGTATAGTAGGAAGAAGGATGAAATAATAGTAACAATTTAAAACATTTTTTATGTCTGTCTCTCTCGCTCTTAGGCGGGCTAACCATGCCCGAGTGGAAGGGACGCGTGCCTCTCACTCGCTCTCATTGTGAGCGCATAACGTGAGCGGAGCGTAACGCAGTTTCTTGAAGTGTCACCCGGCAAACCAATTTATAAGACGTTGTCACGTCAAAATGTTTTTGAACCCGATAAAAGTGTCTAAATGATATTACAGTGTGTACTAAGATTATTTTAAAGAAACAAAAGATTATTTTTTTACCTGTAACTTTAGAGTTTAAAAAGTATGGATCAGGATGCCACAAGTTTTCGAAGAATTCCGGTGGCAGTGTCACGTGGTCATCTCCTTCTTCAAAGATGTCCTCTGGTAACTGAAGCCGACTCTCACTCCAAGTTTGCCTTATAAACATGTCGACTCTGAAATATTAACACTCCAGAGTTAACACGCAATAGCTACTTCATATATTTTGTATTAGGAACTGGCTTTCTGAAAGTAGCTAGTGGCTGTCTGAAAGTAGCGCCACTTTATGAAAAGTTAAGAAGTAATAGGTTATCTTGGTATGGACATGTCATGCGGAGGGATGAGGAAAATGTGGCGAAGAAAGTTTTAGGTATTCGAGTTGAAGAGTACAAGAGAAGAGGCAGACCGAAGAAAAGGTGGATGGACTGCGTCAGGGAGGATATGGCTAGGAAGGGAGTAAACAGTGAGATGACGCATGACAGAGTAGAATGGAAAAATCATACATACTGCGCCGACCCCAAATAAAATTGGGAAAAGGGTAGGCAGATGATGAGGATGAACTGGCTTTAATTTTACGAACATGAATGCGACTATGCGGTATACAACTCCTACATTCTTGACTGGAAATAAAATCTTTAAACATGGGGCCTCAGTCCAAAGTAAGCACTTTCTTTTTTATTGTTTTATGCATATGAAACATATAATGTAATATAATATACATATATACTACTACTCAATGGCTACCCAGAATTAACGTAATCAGAAATGTTGTTATATTTGAAAATTGAAATTGCATTCGGCCATCTTAATTAATTACGGTTTCTAAGCTGTAGTAGTTGTTGGTACATCAAATGTTTTCTTTGTGAAACAATTTATTGGATTTAATAATTGTCTAAATAATGAAGCTTTTAAGAGAATTGCGGTTTTCGTTCCTAGAAGCTTTTGCTTACATATTTTATTCAGCAAACTAAACCGATTATCTTGGAATAATGAAAATCATGGTAAATGAAAGCATTGAACATACTAAATTTTAAAGTATTGTCGGAGATAAGGTTTATGAAAAGTAATGAGTCTTTTTTTATGGTATAAGGGGGCAAACGAGCAGGCGGGTCACCTGATGGTAAGCAACTACCGCCGCCCATGGACACCTGCAACTCAAAAGTCACAAGTGCGTTGCTGCCGTCCTTGGAGTCCTTAGCTCCGGTAACCTCGCTCACTCAGTGAAAGCCAACGAAAGAATTGCTTAACACCGGTTTTCTGTGATGCCGTGGTATCACTCCGGTCGAGCCGGCCCATTCGTGCCGAAGCATAGTTCTCCCACGGTAAAAATCTTTTCTTTCTAAGAGTCTTTTCTAAGACATAATATGTTATGTATTGACGGAATAAAAATTAATTGCCTATGTGTCTAATTAATCACATATGTCATATTTATCAAATATGTCATGTTAATCACACGAGACATTTTATTCATAATACAAATACAGTTAATATAGAACGAAAACCAGACTTAGTAGTAGCTGTGAGCGCATGTTATAAATGGGAAAAAATATTGATGTCTGTTTTAAAAAAGATTTCGTATTTAATAATAGTTTTGTTTTAATTTACTTGATTGAAATATGACTCAGTCATTAACTTCGAATCAATTTTGTTAAATCTGTCACATTTTTATGACCCAAACATTTTATGGCGAAGTTTATGGGCAGTTTATGATATAAAAATTGTGTAACACTTTTTTGTAATAAAAGTGTGATGAAACTTAACCATTGCATTGATTATTGTGGAATGCTTTATCTCTTTTTTTAATGATATTTATTTTATATTAATTAAATATTCGTAAACCATTCGTTAAATGTTCATTCGATTGAGAACCTTATAAAAAGTAACACTATGTGTTTAACCGACTCCACGGATGGCGTTGTGGTTTAGGTGGTCACCACGCCGCTTCCTAATACGCCGAGTGTTATGGGTTCGATGTGTTCTCGTTCTGAGTCTGAGTGTTATTTGTGTCCGTTACAGGATACAGGATATATTCCTAATGAGAGAGGTCTTTTAAAAAAAAACAACTGGTCAGGTACGAGTCGAACTCGTGCGCCCGAGGGTTCCGTACCTACCCAGATTTTCGAGAAAATTTGTAAGTACCATAAGAGAAAATTCTGAAAAAAAAAAAAAGTTGAAAATTAAGGTAAATTTTGGTACTTACAAGTTATCGTGAAAATCGAAATTTGCCCATATCTTTTTATCGTGTTGACTCAAGACCTTGATTTTTATACACCTAATAGGGCCCATAGACCTCAGTATCTGGTAGAAATTTCTATATAAATATATTATAGTTCAAAAAGCAATCCACGCTTTTTCTACGATGAAATGATTTTATTTTTGATTTTTCGTTTTAGTTCCAATAGTGACACAAGCGTGTTTTTTGTTTTTTTTCAAATTATAATTTGTTTTTGCTTTTTTATTCATTAAAACAAAAATAATCATTATTTTTGTTTTAAGATAAAAAAACAAGTAAAAACGTCATATATGCTTAATCAGCACACGCCTCCTAGTATGTGGCAAAAGTCACTACCGTATTTTTAGGTATGGAAAAAGCCGTTAATCCTGAAGATCCTGATCAGGATAATCGGCCAATTTTATCAAATTATTGTATTTTCATTAGTCCTTGATAAGTGTGCGAAGTTTCAGTTTAAGTCGACGTTTTGAACTGAGTCAAAGTGATGTTCGAAGATTCCGTTACATGCATACATACGTACATATAATGATACACACATACATACTAAGCTACTAAAAGCGTGTTAATAACAACTGAAGAAACAACTGATATAGAAGAAAATATGAATGAAATATTTTTAGCGTAGGACAAAGAATAATCTACAAAAGAATAATCTCCACGCTAATATTCTATTTGATATTTATATCAAACTATAGAACTGTGGGAGAGCAATGCTTCAAAACATTATGGGCTGTCTCAGCCGGAATGCTACCACAGCCTCTCAAAAACTTATAGTAAACAACTTTCGTTGCTTGAAATCAAGTTATAATACCGGCGGCCCAAACCCTACTCTGAGTCTTGGCACTTAAAATGTATCAAGACTCTTTTGTCTTTTGAGTTGCAGGTGTTCAAGGTTGGTGCTAGCTCTCACCATCAGGTCTCCCGACTGCTTGTTTGCCCCCTCCCCCTCCCCTTCCAACTATAAAAAACGTTTATGCTTTCCTGACACTAGTTCGTTATATACTGGATCCTCAGTGTATTTCCAACTATTATAAAACAATTTTCACATAGCAAATTTAAATTAATTTACAAGAGAGTTTCTTGGATCTTTTCTGCTTAATAAGCTTTATTGTTCTATCATCAAATTAAAGTTATCTTATTGTGTCAAAGACAAATACCTATCTTCAATATGAATAAATAACTCCAAACACTGAACCCAGTTTCAGTCAAAGGCATTGAACAAATAATAGAATTTAATCCACAGTTCGTGTAAAACAATTCTAAATCTGTAAATCATTCAGATGAATAATAATTAATCCTTCTTGTACGAGATCTAGCCCCTCGACCTACGTTATAAATTGACGGTGTGTAGACTTTGAAAGGAGGAAGATCTAAAACGTTAAACAATTGTGTAAATCAAAACTATAAATTAATTAATGGAACAGAAGGTTTCGTTACTTTAATAAGACATTTAAACTAATAGTAACTTTGAAACAAAGGAGTAAAGTTCTTTATTAATGTTACGGATTTGTGAGATGAGTAATTTGAATGATTTAATTAAAGGTAAAAAGTAGTTTATAGTAATCAGGGATAATTTAAGTTTCTTATAGTAAAAGAATTTTCAAAATCGGATCAGTACAGGAGATTACCCCAAAACATACAAACTCACAAACTTTACCTCTTCATAAAATTCTTTTAGATCTTGAAGTTTTTAGTTTTATTTTTTTAAAGGTCTACTATCAACCGAAATTACTAGTATTCCCGTTAACCCCTCCCACTAAGCTAAATTGCTTGTGTTAGGAGTAGGTTCACGTCGATAGTGTACTGGTCAGGATTTGAATCCACGACCTCTTTATCGCAAGTCCAACGCCTTAACTACTAGCCTACCACCGCTTTTAGAATTGAGAAATTTACTGTGGCTAAATTTTGACGCAACAAACAGTAATATTTGTTCTGACATCTTCAGAAATGTTAATACTCCCGAATCAATTGTAGGACAAACTGTTATTTCTGCGACTAAAGCTCAATTACAAAACAGATGTTTATTTATGAGCTCCACAGATTAGAAATGATTGAAGATTGCTTTGAGTTTGTACTTAGTTTGAATTTTTTCGGCATTAATATTTTTGTTTTTGTATGTTGTTTGTTTAATGTTTTACTAAACTTATTATATAAGCTCTGTTTTCATTCGTTCTGTGTTCGATTTATATGTTTGTATTTATGTACTCTCCCAATGATAGGCCTATGTCCAGCAGTGGACAAGCATAGGCTGAGGTATATATATTTATGTACTGCTTTTCCATAAAGTTGTAATCACTTCTGTAGCAATTATAATGTTTATTCGAAACTAAATAAATAATCTAGGTTGCAGTGTTACTGTTACACTATATTTTAATCTTTATAAGTGTCAGATACACGTGGGTAAGTTGAAGTAATATTTTCCAAGCTTGGAATGAGAATGTATTCGAGCTAAGTTAAGGCGATTTATTTTTAGTTCTTAAATGCTGAGGCAGAGAGGCAGACAAATGAAACGCAGAATTAATTATATCATCTAATAAAGTAATTTTATAAGAATCTGTCATGATTGTTCATTATTTCAATGTGCTAATTTAAATCTCTTGTGAGCTTTAAACTTTTAAAATGAATAAAAGAATCTTCAAAATGCACCTTACGGTTTTTCGTCAGATCGTATGCAACTTTGGTTAAACAATATACTTTAATAAGTCTTTGCAAAAACAATATTTTATATGTTTCTCATCCCAGAAGGCCGAACATGTCGTCGTTTTCCACATGCAGTACATCATATCAACGGCCTTTAATAGTCCACTACTGGACATAGGCCTCTCCTTAGAAAGGAGGTTTTGGCCTACTATACCACGCTGGCCAGACGGGTTGGTATAGGGTTTGTGTCAAGTTTTCCTTCTCTTTGAGGCTGGTTGTCCCGCGTTAGCTCCCTTAGTCACCTTTTACGACACCCACGGGATGAATAGGGGTGGTGACACTCCGTATTCTTAATCCGTCACCACATGCAGTAATAATTGTAAAACTCACCTGAAGTCCATGTCTTCCACATTAATGGAGTTGACATCTACTACGTATATGCTGAACTCCACCAGGACCGGTTGCCCCTTACGCGCCGGCGGTCGCATTTCTAAACAAATGGAATTTATACATTTTTGATAAAATGGATATGAAATTTATAGTTGCGTTTGCGATCAGAAAAGAACTGATGATGAGCGATGGTTATAACTTATGTTGAAATAATCAGTAAATTATATGATATCAGAATGTTTTTTAAATTTATGAATTCCAATAACTTTTACTAAAAGCATAACTACGTAGTAACATAACTATATTAGTGTACTAAACTAGATAAAGCTTTTCTTTGTGAAGTTACAGAGTTAAAAGAATCTTTGAATAAGTCTTTGAGTGTGATAAAAGTTTCTCTCGAAACTTTTTTTGTTCAAGATAATTGTATAAAAGTAAGACAGATTTTTACTTTTCTTCAAAAGTTCTCTATAAGTACCGACCTAAAAAACAATAGTTGTTTTTATAACCTCGCAGCTTTACATAGTAGGTGTATCACTTGAGACTTGTCACACACATCACATCAACAGCCTATGACATAGGCCCCTCCTCTGAAAGGAGATTTTGGCCTACTATACCACGCTGGCCAGTCGGGTGGTATAGGGTTTGCTTCAAGTTTTCCTTCTCTTTGCAGTGCTGTTGTCTTGCGTATTTTTCTTCCTTAGTCGACTTTTACGACACCCACGGGATGAATAATGGTGGTGACATTCCGTATTCTCAATCCGTCACCACACGGATAGATTGTAAGACAAATAAATGAAGATTTAGTGTGGGTAGCTACAGAATTTTGCAAACTACGGACGCCATTCATGGACAAAATTGGTGTTGTACTGAACCTTCGTTTAAACTACTTTTTTACTCTTTTTTTTTGTTACAACTCCCACACTAAGATACATATATACTGTGTCGCGGGGGCCTTTACAAACATTCATGAAGCAGACACAAAGAACATCCAGACTCACAACAATTTGTGGATCACACAAAGTGTTGTCCCATGTGGGGATCGAACCCACAACACTCAGCGTAGTAGGCAGTGGCGAGGTGACCGCTAAAACCATTACGCCATCCGTGCAGTCTCTTCTTTTACTACTACTCCTGCGTACTCCTTCCTAATAGTCCGGCAACGCGTTTGTGACTCCTGTGTTAAAGACGTTCATGGGTGGCGATAGTCACTTTCCATCAGGTGAACCGTCTGCTCGTCTGGGGGCAGGCTAACATAAAAAAATAAACTAAAATATCCAATAAACAAAACACGAGTAAAATCCTTTTCTAATGATAACAATCTTACGTCCAATTGCTTGTTCAAATATTATAATAAAGCCATTAACACTAATGTAATTATGTTTTCCTTTCCCTATTATAAGAGCGATTATTTTGTCATTTATGGGGAAAAAATTCGGTTAGTTTCTTACATCTGCATAATTTTCTCATAAAACTCTACTTTATTACTTAGCAATATTATTTTCACTAACTAAGTTGACTTTACAACACTATATTGTGAAAATATGACATGTTATTTTCTCATATTTTTTAGGAGATATTTTCATAAAAATCTGGATATTTCATAAATATCCATGAGATTATTCCCAAAGTTTCATTCATATCATCTCACTTTAAACAAAACATTACTTTAATCTCTAAAAGTTTTAATTAAATTTATCGTAGAATGAGATGTCTGCATTAATTTTTATTTTTATTATTAAAGTTAAATAAATTTTAAAAAATCACGAATTTGTTGAAAATATATATTATAAATACAACAAACAAACTACAACAACAAACTTGATCAGACTTTTTAATATCGCCATACTATGCGTTTACATACAGCGTTAGGATATCAAATTTCCATCAAATCATCTACTCGTATTTATAATTCTGAATGAAATGGTTACTAAGATACGTCGAGTAGTTAAGAATATATCAGACTCTGACATACCTTTGACATAGTTTTCAGGTAAAACGACCCGCGGTTTCAGTGTGTGATTTCTCTTCGAAACGACATCATTGCATAGCCTGGAATAAAACAAAAAGAAAATATTTGTAAGGTTTTTGTTGCAGTACATACAGATAAGAATTTATAGTAAGCATTACTGTCCTCTTTTAATAAACAGGATTTTTTAAATACTTTTATCAATAGCGGTTAAGAGTAACTACTATTATAAAACACACACAGTATAAGCTTTATTTCAGGGGTTTCACGTTAACTGTGAAATGTACATTATAATCCTAGTTTCTTAAAAAGTATAGAGAGGTATAATGTCAGCGTCTCCGGAGAAAATTGAATCGGGCGTAGTAACTTGTTTCATAAAAGCGACCGTATATAGTGCCGTTTTTTTGGATAAAAGTATCCCTTGTCCCTTTTTGTGTTTCTGATGAGGATAATGCAATATTAAAAATACAAACCAAATTACAAACATTTCTTCATTTACTTTTATAGTAGGCAATTTAAGATCCTAAGTCAAATATTAAAAATATCGTACAATATAAATAACCAAAATTAGTGAGACCATGTACTCCGTGTCAGACGTGTACCTTCGAATAAATTACTGAAGGCTCGATAGCCACATATTTTTAGGGTTCCGTCTTTCTAAAAGAATAAAGGATCATTTAGTTGTCCGTATATTGTATGAATATTATCAGAAAGACAATGAAGTAGTTCTATGGTGGTTCTTTTCTCCGAGAAGAGAGAAAAATGAGAAACGGCACCTGAAAATGATTTCACTCGTGTTTTGTTTATTGGATATTTTCTTTTATGTTAGAGGAGGCAGACGAGCAGACGGGTCACCTGATGGAAAGTGACCATCGCCGCCCATGAACGTCTACAACTTAGGAGTCACAAACGCGTTCCCGGCCTTTTAGGAAGGCGCGCTGTAGTAGTAGTAAAAGTAGAGTAGTTTAAACGAAGGTTTGGTATAACACCAATTTTGTCCACGAACGGCGTTGGTGGTTTGAGACTACAAAAAGGCAATGAAGTAATTCTATGATGGTTCTTTTCTCCGAGAAAAGAGAGAAAATGAGAATCGGCACCTTAAAAAAGAATATAGTCCATTACTGACGTCCAATTAGTTTTGTTACGTGGGTAATTAAAATGCGTATCAGCACGTGTATCGTGAATGGTATCTCCATATGGGAATTATAAATTATTGGAACCTTTTAGGTACTTTGTCTAATTGAAGCTACAGTCTACAAAGTTTATGTAAATAAGTGTAGGGTATACTGTTGTTGATGTTCGTGTATTGTCGATTGTAATCAAGGTACAATTTATGGTATATTTTAAGACAGAAATACTTTTTTGCTAATTATTGGTTTTTGAAAGCTCGGCTTTATAGTAGTATTTGGCTTTTAATTAACCGTGGATTTCAAAAGGCTGATGATGATGATCGAATAGTTTTGAAATTATCTGCCTTATCTACGTAATTAAAAAGAAAAGATGCGAAAGCTGTTGCTGTGAATTTTATTATACCTAATTAAAGACTTTAATATAAAATAGTCTCACACATCTCACACACGACCGTCTGATCTCAAACTAGGCAGAGCCTGTGCTATGGTAACCAGACCGCTGATAAATATACTTATATATTTCTAAATACATACATATTATAGATAAATTACTCTCAGACACAGAACAAACGATATACATATGTTCATTATTTTAAATAAAAGTTTCCATGAAAAGATTGTTGTTAAACATTGGTAATCACCAAACTGTCACATGTCACACACAACTCAGATTAGTATATTCTTGTTTTTGTTAACTTGTTTTCCAGTTTCTTATATTTACTTTATTTATTTCTCTTTGTGTTGAGTTATGATTGGGATTCTCGTACGCGCTTCATTTGTCTACGACCACACACAATATACAATCAGAAACAATCTCTTTCATCAAGCTCTGTTTAGTTGTAAAGTTGTTATAAAAAAATACTACTCCGTCTGATTGCTCGATTTGGTCTAAGAACATTTGCTGGGATAAAATAGCATTGATGGTCGAAGCAGCTGTTTTTACTAATTAAAGGCGGTTAAATCGAAGGGTATTAAAGCGTAAACATTCAACTTAACTTAATGCTTTGGAATAGCACGGGTTTTCCTATTTAGATCTAGGTACGATGCCATTTAATTAAAGTGTTCATTTCATTAAGTTTGTTATAAAAATATCCTTCAATAATGTATATTGCTTTAATATCCATATTCAACAAAATATAATATTTAATGATGATAATCTATACAAATAAATAAAATTGGAGTGCCTGTTTGTAATATTAAAATAACCGCTTTTTACTAAATGCATATGTATGTTTACACGGTACATATGCCAAAATAACATTTTTACAATTTTTTTCTGTCTGTCTGTCTGTTTGTTCCGGATAATCTCTTTCGGGACGGGACTTTCACTGGCAGATAGCTGATGACATAAGGAGTAACTCAGGGTACTTTTTTTAGACTAGCTTCTCCCCGCGGCGTTCCCCGCGGTTATAACAACAAACGCGGGTAACACCGCGGGTCTCAGCTAGTATCTAATAAAGTACATAGTAACTAATGATGTTGTATCACGCAATAAATATTCTGGAGAATCTGCTCCATTGATTGAAAACTATTTTTCGGTTCAGACAAAGGTCAATGTTAGGAATGGGACCGCGGGGCAAAATTAGCAATCCTGTCAGGAGGATTCTCTTTTTGTGTTGGAATGTCACACTTATTCCTGTACAATATTAAACAAGTATAAATAATACGAAAGCTTTTACAAAAGATAAGCCAAGGTTTTGTTGTACCCTAATATACAATTACGTATGTTGAAGAGAACTTGAAGCGAATACAAACTTTACCGTACGAAACTTGTCTCTAAAACAAGCAAATTTGCTGCAAATGCTAAAAGTGAAGACGATTGAGGGACTGAAAGAAATAACTGTGTACATATTTCTGGTATTAAATTTGTTTAAATTATGGACCACTATGTTTATGGACCACTATGTGAAGTCCTGAATAAAGTAATACCTAAGTCAAGAACAACAACGTTCAGTTGACAAGTCTGTAACTATGGTCCTAAAAAAAACAGTGGTACTTCAGGAGATTCAAAGATTTTGGATTTTAAAAGAAAAAAAAAGATTTTTCGATTCGACAAGTGCTCACATGAATATATATCTATGTTGTGCGTACAATATATGTTTATATTATATATAGTTATTTTATCAATATATTTCAACCCAAACTCAACTCTCGTGTAAACGGGGCCAATATATGTAGATACTTATATATAGAGGTGTCAGTAAAGGTAACAGTGTCACAAATACACAAAAATACATTATTTTCTTTTTTGTTCAAAAATGCCCAACGTGCTTAAAGTTTTCACTTCAAAAATGATGACTGGGGATTTCTCCAACTGGGGATGATTTTTATCTTTCGTCTATAACTTAATTTGGCATATTGTAGAATACGAGTAGGTTTCAATTGACTCGGATTCAAAAACATTGTTAAAACTTTTTTTAGATTCAGACAATGTCATGTCTCCAGGGCCTCAATTCTGCTATTTCAATATTGTATCAATATTAATTGTGTCATCGGAATAGTTTTGTACTTTTCGTATTCTACTAATTATGTAAGACCAATGGCCTTTCGATGACTTCTCACTGATGCTGATATTTGTCGTCGATGTCTTTGTAAAAGTTTGGTAAATGACACATTTAAAATTTGTAAGGATATGATATATTTAATTTTACAGATATGGCAATGTTGTTGATATCACCATTGTCACTACATCGACAGTCTAATGAATCTGTGAATTTATGTTAGTAGAATACCGATATTTTGAGCGATTTCAATGGCATCTCAATAGTGTGTAATGGTAGTGGCTTGTACGTTAACATAAAATAGCAAAATTGAGGTACAGGCGGACTGATGGTCGCTGAAGTCGAAATGTGCTAGGGTGGAGACCGCGATTAGGCAAACTTAGTATAGGGCTCCCTGCGGCACAATGGACCGGCGACTAGTAGAGAGTGGCTGAAGAATGTGGAATACCCAAGACGGGAATAGTTGGCGCTCTTTGAGGCCTTAGTTCATTAGTGAAAGCCGATGGGTTGATGATGATGAATTTAAAAGTAATCGATAGTTGTCTGGAGGTAAAATGTAGCTACTCCATTATTATATTAAAATACCTTACTGTACAACCCATATACGCAAATAAAAATTGATTGATTGAACAATTTTAACCTTATTTCTGTAAAATAGAGTTCACATATTGCCATAGTAAATTAAGTTAAAAAGCTAAAAGTGAAAATGATAAAAGGAATACATGATCTACCTTATGCGGAACGTAATAAAGTTTAAATTATGGCAGGACTTGAATTACAGGCAATGACGTCAAGGAAAATTGTTATTATGCGAGCTTACCGTGGTATATATAAATTTAGTGCCGACGATCAAGTGCTAGCGTGCGAGTAACCTATTTAACCATAGAATTGAAAGTTTAAATGAAAGCCGAAATCAAAGACGATCCAGTTTTGAGTACTTTATACTTTAAATACTACCAAATAATAATAAAATTCTATACTAATATATTTTTACGGATTCGAGTCGCTCTTCTTTGGATACGGTCCAGAGGGAGAGGCTGGTACTGTGGAGTCCCTGCATAGAGATGAGAACAGTATCCCATATGCGGTCATCTTGCGCCTTATGAGAGTAGTCATGGTGACTTATCTAAGAATACATAATTAAAGTAATACATGATAGTCCATACTGGACAATATTTTTTATGTGTAATGAAAAATTTGCGCAAGATGAAATCGATCTAAGAGGCGTGCAATGGTAGTGGCTTTGTCTAGCACTGGACTGCGATAGGCTGATGATGATGAAAGAACATTTATCTATCTATTACTCTATCTACTTGTTTTGTCTTTCGAAGCAACTAAACAAACCTTTCCTACACACTAAAAGACCTAAGCCCAAATTACACTTTGTTGGTTTTGAACAAATTCAATCACCAAGTTTTATTACTTATGGACGGATTGTTGTATATAAACGAT